TTTTATTAATAAAAATAAGCTTAAAATCTTAATTTTAAACACAACCAAACATGCTTATATGTAAAATCTTTGTTTTAATGAAGAAACTAAAACAGTAATGTCTAGTATAAAAGCACAAAAAACAATTAGGGTTCATTTGATTGGAAATGTGAAAAATTGGTGGAAATAAAATGTTTTACAGGAAATTGAATTGCCTAAAAATTGTTTTACTAGGAATTGTAATTAATTGTGTTTGATTTTTATAATTTTTCACCTGGAAAATATTGAAAGTTTGGTGTCCGTTTGGTTTTTTTTTTATGAAAATTGTCCATGAAAGTGATAATTTTTTCTACCATTGAGTCTAGAATTTGTTAAAATTGCCAAAATAAAAAATAAATTTTAAAAAATTAACATACCGAATACCATTCGTTTGGTTTTATTTTGCATGAAAATTGTCCATTAAATGGAAAAATTTTTTTACCATTGTTGATAGATTTTTTTCCAATTGCAAATAATAAAAAAAAAGATGAAAAATCATTTTCCTACTAAAATGGTGGGAAAACCAATTCATTGATTTCAAGGAAAAAGTGGGTGGAGGGGGAAAAAAATTTATAAGGAAAATTTTTGTAATCAAGCAATGCAAAAGATGTAAAATGGAAAATGTTTTCCTAATTCCATGGAAAATCATGATTATCAAACAGGGCCTTAGGAACTTAACTATTAGGGAAATTTACAAAATATGGGATGAATTTACACTTTAGTAAAGCATTTTTCATATTTATATTTTTCACGATATTTTATAGAGTGGTAATGAAAGACCTATAATAAAAAAATAACTAATTACACCATTTACTTTAGATACCTTATGTACTAGTTTTTAAAAATATTTTTTACTCTTCAAATTTTTAATTATTGTTCATCTGAATATTTAATTTTTTTTTCTCTCCTTAAACTAATTTTCAATGGAGTCTCTTGACATTATTTACATAATTTTTTTCCATTTTTATTTTCAGTGCAAATTAATATAAGATTGATGATGAGAATGTGACCCAAAAAAAAAAAGTTGGGAAGATAAATGTGAAAATGAGTAAAGATTAAAAATATACATTGCAAATAAAATGTGTATAATTAACAAAAAACAGTCTTGTGAATATAATTAACCATCAACTATTTATTTTATAACATTTGTGAGTTTTTTGGCAAGGAGTATTTTTTGTTATCACTTTGTAAAAGATAGTATGTAAAATATAAATCTAAAAAAGCATGATATGCAGGGACGGACCCGCCTCAAAGTTGAGCCCGAGCGGGCGTCGTTGACTAGTCCAGTTTAATTTTTATTTTTTAATTGAATCTTGATCCGACCCTAAACTCGATAGATAAATTCAAAATTCAAACAAATAACCCTCATATTCATAATATGTGAAATGGCAAAAGTATATAGAGATGAAAGCAATACAAATTAATATAAATACACCGCATAACAATTTATTTACTAATTTCCCTAATTATATTGTCTAGCTCACCTTATTTATTTATTTTGAAATAAGTCTGTTTTCTCCATTGAGCAACTTTAGGTTTAGCACTGCTTGAGAGCTTAAACAACGATAAACTTAAATTTTTTTTATTAATATAATTAAAATATTTGCGTAAATATTACATATTATATGTACCAAAGTAACTGAGTTCTATTCAACAACGTTCTCAGTACATCCTCAAACTATCCGCATGGCCGGAGTTTGACTCTCAACCAAAGGCATTTGGGACCAACCCCACCTAGGGCTGGTCGACCTCGTCCAACCTTTTTCTTGTGCCGATCGACTAAATGGGACTGGTTGATCTTGACTATATCTGTTTGAGCTACTTGGATCGTTTTCTTCACATGATCTTTCCTCTAGGTTCCTGGAGTTCATTGTTGTGCTTGAATTTTGTTTAGTTTTTCCATTCTTGATTTTATTTTTCAATTAATTTTATAAGCTATCGGTATCATGTTGCCATCCCACCTCGTCTTCTTACGAGTACTTGAACTATATATATGCATAAATTGGAATGCTTGATAAAGAGCAAGGTCATATAGATAGATCTACGTATTAAACAAAAAGAGTCCCAAATATTGTTGGATTGGATCAGATCCTGGACTAGACCGCACAAATTATCAATGCTAGTTGAGTTAATAGCACAGCAGAGTTCAAAGTAGAGGTGTCAAGACGAATGGACCGATCAGACCCGTGAAAATCGGCCTGAATCGACCCGGGAACGCAGGCCGACCCGTGACCCAAGCGGGCGGTTCACGGGTCAAGAAGGTGTGACCCGCGAGTTTCGCGGGTTGCACCTTCACGAACCACGGTTAACCTGCAGGCCCGTGAAATTTTTTTTAAAAAAAATTTGAAAAAAGGAAGGGAGGGAGAACAAGATAAAATTATTGATGATGTTGCTGAAGATTTCAAAAATCTTGCAATTCCTGAAGATTGATTAAAAAACAAATATTAAAATATATAATTTTTGAACAACTAAATTATAGTTAAAACTTAAATAGGTGCCAACCTAGTAGGAATATAGTTATACTATAAATATTTGATAATAGTAATTAGAAATGCATTTAGTTATCATTTGTTTAAGTTAAATTTAACTTTTCAAAGTTATAAATAATTCATGTAACATTAAATTTGAATTCTATGTAAACATTTCTTTGTATAAATATGAATTTATCATTTTGTTCAATTTTTAGTTTACATTTAACAAAAAAAAAATATTTTTTGCTACAAATATGAATAATTCTATATTTTTATAATTTTATTTATACAATAATACGGGTCAAATTGGAACAAACCGCGACTCGTGACCCGCATGGGCTCGACCCGGATAGATCAGCGGGTGGGCCTGAGATGTAGTCCAAATTTTGTGGGCCGGCCGCCAGGAACTCGTAGCGGGCGGGCTTTTTTTCACGCGGACCGTTACCGGGCTCATAGGTTGACGGACCACTCAGATTGACACCTCTAGTTCAAAGTTACCTTCAGTTTAACATTCATGGAAAAAGGAACTCTAGACCCATTGTATATCATAACTGCAGTCTAGCAAAATCCTCTATTGCTAGTCCCAGAACAGAAATGACACCAATTTACAGAGAGATTCTTCTGAATTATCTACCAACCTGCAACAAGAAATTGAATAAACAGAGTAACAGTAACTCTACATATGCAAAACTCTTGTTCTAAAATTCAATCATTGTCTTGATAACAGCTGGTGATTCTAAATAAGCTGAACCCCGAGTTAACTACTGTAGATTTCTGTAGCAGAGGGCACTAGAAAATCTTTACCAACTTCCCGTACACTCTGATCCTATATTTCAAAAACAAATATTATAAACAAAAATTGCTGAACTCAATAAAATTATCATAAACATTGAAGATATGCATGCCTGAGACGCTGAGCTCAACATGACCGTAGTAAGACTGGACCTACTGATGAGCTAAGCATATCACTTAAGGCTAGTTGAACCTCATTGGATCCGTGCTCGCAACTTATCAACCTTGAAAGCAAGGGAAAGAAGAAAGGCAGGTTCTTCATAAACGATGAATCTTCTAAGCTACACATTGCTTGGAGAGTTGCAACAATAAGAGGTGCTCGTGCAGCCAATTCTCTTCGTCTTCCAGAACCTAGAGGTATCATCCAGTGGAGTTGCTTGTCAAGAAACGAATCAGACATCTGTTTCGAGTATGCAGTTTCGATGTAGGACTGTAAGACCTCCAGGCAGAGGTTGACAAGGTAAGACTCCACTTCTGACTCCTTGTCAGCAAGAGGCCTATTGACTACAAGATTTTGCAAAAATGCGAGGCAAATTTGATAAGACTCGTTCTCAAGTCGAAGTAGTGGAGGATCCTGCATTTGAGTAATTGACCCAAGTTCTTGCAGCTTTGAACGTAATGCTGCATCGCTGTTTATCTTGTGAGCATGAAGTGCCACGGAATGCACTGCATCAAAGAGGATAACAGTGTTTTCGACCAATAGTTGGGCTCTATACATGTCGTAGATCTCCATGACCGCCTGCCATATTCAAATTAAATTTTTTTATCAGACATTTTAAAATAATTATGTAATAACGAAAAAAATTAAGTGAACAGGAAAATTCTATTGTGGATAGATATGATGGGGAACATAATGGATAGAAGTTCAGCACGAGCATATCTACACTTGTATGAATATTTTAAAGAAGGAAGAAAAACCATTCTTAATTGAAGCAAGGTCAATAACCTTACTACAAAAAGAGAGTTCCACACATGCAACTTTTAAAGAACAAGACGTAAAATTCCAGATACAATGATATTACATCCTCCAACTCCTTATATAGATGGCTTTTCTCCTATAAAATCCAACCCCATGGATTTTCAAATAAAAGGCATCCCCCTGTCCTCTTCCTTCAATTAGTCAAAGTCAATGTAAGAAATTCTTGGGATGGAGATGAAGAGGACGCGACTATTAATTTGAAACAGGAAAGAGATGCCTATGCCAACACAACTTTTTTTAAAATAAATTATTCCTGAACATGACTAGAGACATCGAAGGGATTTCATTATCTTCAAAAAATTAATGTTATCCACCTGAATTAGTAAAAGCTCAACAGCAGCTCGACATTTGATTTCAGATATAGCAGCAAGCAAATGATGTCTCCTCAAGTTATCCAAATCATCATCAGGAATACTTGTCCCAGTAGACTCATCGTGGTTCTTCTTATTCAAATCTTCTTCATTAAGAATAAAAGAGAAGTCGGGGAGCGTTTCCTTGGCAGCTTCTTTGAGAGATGAAACCACTTCAAACCACTTGTCTTCAGAAAACAGTTCCCCAGCATTGCTCATTAAACGAACAAATGCGGCAATACCTATACCGGCAAGGCTTTGGTGAGGACGTTTGATAAAACTCACCAATAACATCAGCACTTTCTTCAGAAGTGGATTGACTGTGTCGTAGAAATTAACAAATAGATCTACAACCAATTGTAGAGCCAGTGTGCACGTCTCGTATAGCCATGCATCTTGATCAAGTTCCTCGTCACCATTAATCTCATGCCCACTGGATGGGTCAATAGCACGTCGAGCGTCATCAAAGATTCGGAATAGGATAGATTCAAACACCTTTTCCCATAATGGCAGAGAAAAGTGCTGGCCATAGTTGCGCAAGGTATCAAAGAGCACTTGTAGGGCACTCTTCCTGATTTCAGGCCTTGGGTCGAAGCTAAGTTCAGATAAACCTTGGGAGAAAAAAGCGGGAGAGAACACATTAGTTCATTCAGCTGGTTATATTTTTATTCCAAAAGAAAGAGAAATTATCAGGATGAAATGAGCATCAATTTTAACGACAGCAACAACCATAGATACCAAGATGAGTTTTACTTACCAGCCAACAAAGGGAACCAAAAATACAGATGATCCACCTTATATATGGACTCCCCGTTGTCAATTTTTTTATCTTTGCTTTCATGAGGTGAAGATGGAGGGACCTTTCCAAAAGTTTCTTTTCCTAGATCTCCTTCAGAAAGTTTCGCCGCACAGAAACTTAGGAAACCAATGGCATTAAGACTAATGTCTTTGCTGAATCTACTATTAGTGAATGCAATCAGACAATTTACAAAGTCTGTGAAAGTGGTGGTCTCAGTTTCAGTTATATATGGAAAATAATCTCGCACGATCTTCTCAATTATTTCAAAAGCCAGCATCACAATGTTTTTATGGTCATCATAAGCAGCTGTGGTAAAAACCTACATATTTTCATATAATTAGATGAGAAATCATAGAATAAATAGTGAGTACAAAATATACGAATATGGTTTGCAAATACAAAAGCAATTTTATTCCATAAAGATGACAATGATATCTGGAGTCGAGTTAAATACCATAAACATGCTCTTCCATCCTGATTTGACATTGTCAACACGAGATGACACCATCTGAGAAACGCATCTGATAATCAACTCTCTGATTTCAACAGCACTGCTCTTGCGCATGACAATTACGAAAGGCTTCATAAATTCATTTTGAAAATTATAATTGGCCAACTCTTCCCGTTCCAAGAATTTCATAGATAACTGGCGTAAAGAGTCCATTGCAAATATCGCAATCGAAAGGTTCTCTGAACAGCCGATGGTCACAAAAAAATTGGACAGCACTATCCAAATTTTTGACCAGACAAGCCTAATACGGTTCATGTTATAGTGCCTGTTCACAAGGCAACAGATTAAAATATTACACACCAAAGCAAAAGTAAAATGTAAAAAATGGTGGTCCATTAATTTTGTAAGATGCAATAACAGGAAAAGCGGAAGGTCAAAGGAGCATAATACATACGCAATCTCAACTATCTTTGTAAGACTGAAAATCCTTGGATTTGATGTAGATCGCAATTCTTCAATAGAGACCTTGCACAGAGCCTTGACAAAATCAACTATAGCCTCACTGTTCAGCTTTTGACTCCGTATAAATATGCGGTTTATCTCATCAACTTGTTCCAACATGTTTAAGTTAGAGACCAAGTTGTTCATCTGCTCAGATGTAATTCCTGCTGCTGCATTACCACCAATACCGGCGCTATCATATGAACCCCTCCTTGTCGCTGACACTACATTCTGAATGTTACCAGGTCCCTTCCTTTTCAGGACAGGAAGTATATTTGATTTGCCTTGTTTAGATTTCTCAAATTCATTCTGAGTAATTGCAAAGAAAGTGGCATCAGGAGGAGCACCCTCGCCCAAGAGATGCAAATGCTCAAACCGAGAAACACATGTTAAAATATGCTCCCAAGCCTCCTGTAAGTAATTCCCATCCTCATCTGCTATTGTAACTATTGCCTGTTAAAGGAAGGTAAGTGCTGATGAGAGTTGTTCAGGAGTTATATTAGTTTCTTTACATTTCTTTTAGTTTGAAATAAGACATTACCTTTTGTCAAACACTAAAATTTCAATGTCCAGATAGTTTCAATTCCAATCTAATTGAGATATGTTAAAACGTAAATTATGCACCTTAAGAACTTGCTCGAGCAAAAACATGGGTAACTTGTCTACACTAATGAAATGTAAATGTGAAGATCACATCCATAAAGTAACATTCTAATCCAGATTCAGTTCAAAAAGGTTGCATGTATATATGAACAAATGCAAATGCAAATACAAATACAAATACAGTTGCAGAATGAAATGTGCACATTTTAAGAGAAAAAAGAGCATGCATATACTGATACCGCACATTCAATCACAAACAGAAGTACAGAGAGTAACACATGTAGAAGAACATGGTGACAACAATCATGAAACCTTATCAAAAGAAAATGCAAATGCATATGCATATGCACACCAGAAGAAAATGAAGAGTAACGCAGTGGGGGCAGTCACCAGTTTCAGGATGGTGAATGAGAGGAAGTGATGGTATATTAGAAGAGATATTATTTAGGCCCCGTTTGAGCCACATTATTTTTTTCATTCTCATTCTTCTACTCATTTTCAACCACACATTCTTCAATAAAATAATATTTTTCATCACATCATTAACTTTTCCTTCTTTTTCAACCACATATTAAATTCCACTTTCGCAATCAAACAGACCCTAATGGTTTTTCTTAAGATATGGAACAAACCCGAAGCCAAACCTTTCGATCCTAGTTTGGTTTGATTTTGGTTCCATGACGTAAATTTTTAAATGATAAACAATTTAGCACTACTTTCATAAGTTAGTGACATTTGCCTATATCAAAAAAATAAACGCGCTATGTTTGAGTCACATTATTTTTTTTCATTCTAATTCTTCTACTCATTTTCAATCATACATTCTTCAACAAAAAAATGTTTTTCATCACATCAATAATTTTTTCAACCACATATTCCCCATCATATCAAACAAAAAAATGCATTCTTGTGGAAATAATGTGATTCAAATAGGGGCTTAATCTAGTTTCCAATTATGAAGCTTATTTTAGGAATCATAATTAGGGTTTGATATCATAGATTTTGTAGTATTTTCCTACTTCAATTAGGCGTAGTTTAAACCCTATATAAAGGGGCTTATGAAATGTAATTTATAATACTTTGAGAGTGAAATAAAGATACTTCCTCTCTTAATTTCTACTTCCACGTGTCAAATTCTTCTCCCCTTTATCTCCCTCCTTCTATCTCCCCTCTCTTCTTCTCTTTTCCCCTCCTTGCTCTTCTTCTCCCCCTTTTCCCCTTCTCCTATAATTGTTTGATTGTATCCTACATCAATTTGGTATCAGAGCTCAAGTCGTTTTCTTTAGTCAACAAAATTTGTAAAACGCGATCCCCCCTCAACCAGTCATTTCCACCTCTCCAACCATCAACAAACCCTCGTGTCAAAACCATAACCAAACCCATTAATCCAAAATACACAATCCATTCTCGTCATTAACCCACACCAAAACAATGGCAGCAAATTAAAGGTGCAATTTAGTAGTATCTGCGCTTCTTAGTTTATTGTTAGGCAAAAAATAAAGTCATGAACGCCAGAATTGTTCACAAATATAGCATTAATTGAGTTGATTTTCTATTATTTCCCTTCAAAAAACCAAAAAATAAAAAATGGTGCCTTTGTTTTTGTAGGTGAATCAACTGTGCTAGTACGTTGTGCTCATGTGGATTATGTGGTAGTTTTTGCAACTTCATGGATTTTCTTGTTGCTATTTGGTTAAAAGAAAAGATTGTTCCCTTGATCATATCAAATGCTTCGGAATGTATTTCATATGGTCGTTCTACTTAGTTTTTCAAATGTAGATGCTACTTACAAAGGTTGCTACAAAACTTATATATTTTGGTGGGTATGATATGAAGATAATCTCGCCCGCCCAACAAAAGCAATCTAAAAAAAATAATGCTACTAAAGGTAGAGGTTGAGATCGCTCCCGCCCGTTGCACAATCACTAAAAAATTATGTAACATCATTATCAACAGCAGCAGCAGTGAGAATGTTGTCTCCAAAGCACCACTAGTGAAGGCACTAAACATAAAGATGGAAAGACACCCAACTCCTTACAAAATTGCATGGATCAATAAAGCTCCTGAAGTTCAAGTGATAGAGGTTTGCAAAGTTCCATTGTCTACAACTACTACAAGGATGAGGTTATATGTCATGTGATTGATATGGATGCATGCTATGTCATGTTGGGAAGATTGTGGCTATTTGACGTCGACACCACTCACAAAGATCGAGACAACATTTACATATTCTGGTTGTATGATAAGAAGATAATTTGCTACCTCGACAAAAGCAATATGAAGATATTAATGCTACTGAAAGTGGAGGACAACTCTTCACTAGTATTCTCATGCCTGAATTTCTTTCCAAGCTAGGTTTGAATCCTCGCAACGTGATGGCAAAACTTTTGGAGTCTTTTCCTTCTAATTGATCAATTTCCTCTTCTTCAACCAAACTCGAGGATGAGTTTACTTCTAGTGGGAGAAAATGAAGTAGGACAATTCTATTCTGAATAGAATTTCTTGTTCTAACAGGGTTTATTTCTTTTTCTTCTTTCTTGATTAGAATGGAATTTTTCTCGCTTGATAAAATAAGCTTTTTTTCTTTTACTTCGTTTAGGATTTCAATTATTTGTCGTTAGAATTAGGAAATTGATTAGTCTATTTAACCAAAAGCTCTGTATTCTTTTTCAATCACCAAATCATTACAATCAAATTATTCTTTACAAATTTTCGAATTTTTCACTTGTTTCAAGAATTTTAATTTCACTTCCACTCCACATTCCCTTATATAAATGTAGAAAACAACTTTACTAACAAAACAAGGGCTTGTGTGAGATGGATCGCAATATGAAAAGTAAGCACCAACCTTGATTGCATCAATGTTTTTTTGTTTAATATCAGCAGGTGAATGGAGAGAAGTAAATTTTGCTAGCGAAGTCAAAAAAGCATCCCTGTGAGTTTTCATGGACACTGCTGCAGTAACATGGATTGCACAACGAAAGCCTTCCAAACATAGCGCTATTACAATCTCATCATCACTTTGGTCAAGAGGAACACTGAAAGCAGCCAACATAGGAGCCCAACATACCTCAATCATGAATCTAAGAATTACCACATCTGTTGCAGCATAATAAACTGACCTATAATTCACCAATTCAAGCTGACATTAAAACGAAATCTAGGGGAGCATGATTAGAATCATCATATATCAACAGTGCACATAATAAAGCCTACCATTTTTGTAAAAAGTGATTTTTTTGTAGAATACGTGGTTAAAAAGTAGGAAAAAAATTATGGATTTACGTGCAAAATTATTTCATTGGAAGATTTTGTGGTTGAAAATAAATTTGGGGAAAAATGAGGGCAAAACATGAACCAAATATTATTCCATCATTCTCAATCCTCAATTTTCCTGCTTTGTTTTGCTTTTTGCAAAGTAGGTCTTTGTGTCGGAATGACAGCATAAATCTTTTTTATGCAAGCTGAGCATCTAAATTGAGGTAATCAAATGCAAGTTTTCCTAAGTTTAAAAAAATTATTTAAAAGTATATAATTTTTTCTTGATCGAACTTGGAAAAATAAGTAAGATTCAGTTAAGTAGGAGTTACTTTCGGAAAAGTAACTCTTTATATAACTAGAGTTATCAATGGAAAAATAAGTAAGTTTCAGTAAAGTAGGAGTTACTTTCGAAAAATTAACTCTTTATATAACTAGAGTTATCCAAACATATAGAGTTACTTTCGAAAAATTAACTCTTTATATAACTAGAGTTATCCAAACATATAGGTGACAAAAAGTTATTTCAAAGCAACTTTACCTTTTCTATTATGCTTAGCCAAATATACTCTAACTAAAGACCAGCGTAAAAAGATATAAAGCAAATACTAGTAATCTGCAGCAGATAAGTCCCTATAGTACCATGAGCAATGCTACATGTAGAAGAATCGTAGTTGATCTTACTCAGTTTTGCGGGCTTTTTCTTTAAACTGTTCTTGCATATTTCTCATGAGATCTTCACTTGACTCCATATTTTCTTCCCCTCGCTTACGGATCACAATATTCAGTATGCTATCTAAGCCTAAAATTCTGTTTGAGTTCATAGATTGCTTCTGTTGGATTGTGAAATCATCTTCTTTCATTTTAATCTCATTTCGAGATATTCGTTCAAACAATGATCTCAAATACTCCTCTGGCAGATCTTTTCCATCGTCAATTCCACGATTGTTCTTAATAAATTCTTCAGCTGACATCTGCTTAATTGATGAACATTATAAGAAATTTAAAATGGATCGGATGTAAGTCCCTTAAACACCATCATTTATAACTTCATAACTATACCTTGTTCTTGACCATAGGGTTATGAGCATCTGTATTCAGCAATATAACTGCATAGGCGAGCACATAAGCTGTGTCGGCACTTGTAAAGACCTTTGGATTGCATTTGCAGTACCGCTCGGCAAACTTTTCCATGATGCGGTCAATCTTCTGAGCCTCACCAGGCAGCCTAAATCCCTGAAGAAGGGCTTTTATAGCCTCATCGAACTCCATATCATGGAACTCAAAGGAATCCACATATACATGCATCACTCGCAGTGATAAATCTTCCCTTTCACCCAAGTAATCACCAATCAGAGTTTTATTCAGATCAGATGTGTTTTTAAGGAAAGCTGCTATCTCTTCTGGCGAGTTCCCCACTTTATTTGCATTAATCAGGAACTCAATACCTTTCTTAGGTTTACGGTTAAAGAGAGAGATGCCTTCCTGCCATGAATATCATATTAGATTCCATGAGTCATCCACTGAAAAGTAGTCACAAGACTGAACTGTTACATTATAATGGACAAATTAGTTTATAGTTCACCTGAAGTTCAAGCTTGTAAGCACGACGTTGTTCAATTGTTGAGACATCAGAAACTTCACTGGAGGCTTCAGACTGAGTGTCCGATGCTTCTGTTGGGTCATCTCCATTGCCATTCATGAAAGGTATACTTCCAGGTTCAGTATTATTGTCTGCATCCTCGTATTTCTTTGCAGAATGAGGATCTGGAATTCGCAATTGTTTGTTCATCCAGTCGCCCATGGACTTCAACGTAGCAACCAAGCATTTCATAGCTTCTACCTTCATGGTAGCATCTTGAGGCGGCTGTAGAGAAGTTGCAACACCAGGTGGGACACCTTGAGCAGTTTTAAGAAGTCCATTAACCATCCTGTAAGGAATATCACAAGTAAATGGAGAAAGGGAATGGAGACTCAAGATTATGCTGAACTAAGCGAACTATTCAAGGATTCATCTGGTTACACATCCTTTGGTAACTTGTTGACTAAGGAATCAAACGAATTTAATTTCCTTCAACTAAAAAATTGCATATAATAAATTGACATATTAATCTACTTTGTAAATTAGTCTCCTAGTTTGTAGGGTAGAATATTAATAGGACTCCTTCCGGATTATGTGCAGAATGAGTAGCATGATCTTTGTGAATAAGTACTCCATAAATACTATAATTTTCTTCATAAATTGAACAAATGCCTATTTGATCACAGGGTACTTAAGCTAAGCCTCTCTTAATAGTTTTTCTTCTCTCATGGTTTTACCAGATTCCGCTTCACCCCCCAGCACAACCCAAAACGAACTAGCATCTATTAGTTAAGGGGCTTAGTTGAGTTCAGGAAAGGGGACAGAAGCAACCTACAAGCATTAGCAACTGCTTCCGTCTGTTTCGAAGGTAATCCTCCAGTCTCTACACTGGAAAACACGTAAGTCACTGCATGGCCCTCACTGCACTTCAGTATTTGAATTCAAAAACGAAGCTCAATCCAAAGCAAGGATAAAGTTCTTTCCCTCAAGAATTTTCATTCTTATTGACCATAAAGCAAAGATAGTAACAAAGTAGCTACTGACCTAATGCACTTAACATATTTACTTGCTAACTTCAATGGGCGCTCCTGTAATAGGATTTTAGGAGCTCGAGAATAGATATGAAGAGAAACCTCAGTTTAGTGAGGCAGTCGGAGAGGAACCAAAAGTATTGAGAAAAATGACTATTCCTTTTGCATGCTTGATGGTATGTGTTCATAGTTAATGGATTATGCCAGTGGAGGGTTCTATGAGCAGATTATCTGTGAAATACATGGTGATTTAGGACATTTGGTCAAGGCAATGATTTAGTTGGTGGAAGAACAATTTTATTCACCTAAAATGGCATGAGATGTTTAGAAGCTCGCGAAATGCTGTCAAATTTGTCAATGATTAATATGCCAAAGGACATTCACAAAATATTGGTTTGTAAAACCCACTGCCAATTGCTACTTTGCCTATTGACTTCATTAATTCAGAATTGTAGTATTTGATCAGTTCTCTAAGATGGCTCACTCCATTCCTTATTCTACATGAGGCTGATTTATTTTTTGGGGAAGTTGTGCAACACTATAGCGGACTTTCAGTATTCTTTGTGGAGGAAGTTAGAAACAAAATTGTAGTTACTTGTGATCCACAAACTAATAGTCAAACAAAAGTGGAGGTACGATATTGGTAATTGCCAATGCGTGTAGTTGAAGATCATTTTAAGGCCTGAAACTTGATTTTACTCCATGATGGAATTTGCTTCCCAGTGAACTGAACAACGAAGAAAACTCTTTTTGAAGCTCTGTTTGGTCATATACCTCAACATGTGTAGGGATCTTGTTTTGTTACTGTCAAAACTCAACTTGGTGAAGATACAGACTGCACTCGGTGAGGCAAATTTGGACACACGTGGGATTTGCGAGATATTGTGGTTAAAATAATTCTTGGTCATTTGAGACAGACATTATAAGGATCATAAAGTTGTGTAGTGATAACAAGTCATCAAACAATATTGCTAAAAAACTTTGGATAGGATAGGGAGCAAAGCCAAACCCCACAGTCACTGTAGAGATAAGTAGGCCTAAAAACCCCTAAATCTCGGCTGTATGTCTTTTTCCAAAAAAAAAAATTGCTGAAAACCTAGTTCAACATTAACTTGCGAAGCATGTGGATGCACGTTAACTTTTAACAAAAAGAGGATAGAAGGTGGATCAATTTGTACTCCTTATGTTTCAAAACGTGGACAAGTCTATGATGTAACTAAGCCTACCAAGTAAGTGGCAGCTGGGAAGATAATATCTACTCACCAGCTTGAGGGAGAGTTTTTTACTGATCTGTTAGAATCTGGTTAGATCCCTTAGAATCTGGTTCATTTTGGAATTGAAGGAAATTAATATCATGTTGTTCAAATATTGCATATTTTATTTAACCAGATTCCTACCCTTGGTAATTTCCTTTATCCCTAAATCAGTTTCCTCGTTTGCTTTGTAGAATTTTCTAGACATAGTTTCCATATTTATATCAAGTTTACCTATTATTGATGAATGTGACCTTTATGAATATTGTAATTCTTCTCATAGAATAAAATAAATAAATAAGTTCCTGTTAAAGCACACAAACCATGTTTAACAATAAATAATGTAAACCAAAGGACAAATAATAACTCCTAGGGAATAAGCAAGACAAATAATTACTAATATAAGTGCATAAAAGTGTCAATGAACATACACTATTGTGTCTCAGATAAAGTAAACGAAATGATGAGAAAACCATACCTCTCAAATATGTTAGAAGAATTCACGTCACAATCATAGTTAAGGAAAATGTCTACCAAGATCTGCGAATCAAAGCACAGCTTCTCAAGAAACCGAAGCACTATCATCTTTTGCTGATAATTTGGTTGAGCAACATTTTCCAATACTCTGAGGACAATCATGGGGAAAAACACTCCAATCTCTGCCTTTAGTCCAGCTCTAAATCTTGACACTAGACTAATAAATATCGAGCAGGAAAGCTGGAAAACAATCGTGAGGGTTGAAGCACTGTTCTTCAATAGTGACAGACACAAGTACTGCTTAATGGCACCTAAAAATCTGTTCACACAAGAAAACCAGACAAATAGTGAGTAACAATAATGGAACTAGAGCTCGATATTAGAAAAAGGATATACATGGCAAAAGGAAGTGTGAACTATTCATATTTTCACGTAAAAGGAGTGTCTTTTGATGTAGGAGACAAAAGAAAGATGAAACGTGAAATAGGGGTAGCTAAGAACGGATTATGCAGCCAAAATCAATGGTATATACCAATATAATGGAGTTTTATTGGGTAGAAACAACAATGGTGAGTCTACTGCATCTCTACATAAGTCAAAGAAATTGAGCTAATTCAAAAGTAATGCAGCACCTTAAACAAAAATAGACAGCAACAACAAACTCAGGATTACCTGAATAATCATCTACGATTCTAACTTCACCAGTAGTTCAAGTGCCACAAAAACATTGTATGGATAATGATAACTAGATAAAGTCTTTAAGAGAAGCAGAAAATCATTGGACGCATGCATGAGTAGAGGAGAAAAATGACATTAAAATGGATAGGTGATGCTGGTTAAGTAAGGAACTATGCAATATTTATGAGTCACAAAGCAAACAATGGAAGATCTACAGGAATGTGTTTAATTATTGCAAAAGAACAAAGCTTTAAAGTCAGCTTCTGCTTCAAACCTTCTACTAGACATGTAACATCTATTTTAACTTAGCTTATCACAACATGTAGGGACTGACTAGCGCCATTCTTGACAGGGTAAAAACTTTCATAAGATGATTTTCTTTTCTTTTTTATGATAAGGATAGTAACGTTTTAGAAGCACAATAATACATGTCTTTTTAATAATATGGTATAAATCGCTTTTTGCTACTAATAAAGTGCAAAGCATGATACATTGGTTCTTTCCAATTCTATGATAGTTTAGATAATTCATTAGTTTTACATATAGTGCGAGGCGAGATATGAACTCATTTCTTTTTAAAATATGAACGCCATGGTCACTAACATGTTTATATGGTCTTAGATGAATATAGTTTAAAAGCATGGTAATGCTTGTCTTATTACTTATATTCTACAGAAAACTTATCTGCAAGTTAGCATGTTTGAGGCACATTTTTGGTGTAGAATACATTTTGAAATAGTATATTGATGGAGAATGTGTGGTTAAAAATGAAGAAAAGTTTTTGGGTGGCGTGAAGAATGTATGATTGAAAAGTAGAGGGAGAAAAATGTATTTTTTTAAAAAAAATGGGAATCAAACAAGGGTTATAATGAAATGGTACACAACATTTTTTTCAACAGTATCTATAATGAATGGGCATTATGGGCATATCCATTTTTATATGCTACACAGAACCTAAAGCAAGCAAATCTGGTACCATTTACTACATTTCTAGTGTGTCCCAAGTAGCTGTGCTAGTGTTAATTCATCATTCAAACATTCATGGAAAACTCATTATAAAACAAAACAATGTATAAGTTACAAATCAGAGCACAAATTAGTTAAAATACGATTTGCACAAGCTAGCATCCTAGCACAATGTAGCACGTTCAGCTGAATAAAGTTAACCATATAGGCTAGTATCAGTCAATCAAGTACCTTTCACTTGTCCTAAATATCGCCCCCGCATTCTCCAACAAAATCTTGAGTAACTCCAATGCCACAATTTTCCCCTTCATTGCCTGAGGGTCTGCCACTGCATCTTTTGGCGGAGTCTTCATTGAAAGCTTACACAATGCTCGGAAAACCAAAAAAGCATCCCGTCTTAACTTATTACCAATCTGAACCTCCAAATCATCGTCCCTCTCCCTCTCCCTCTCCCCCTCACCATCAACCAGCTCCCCTTTCCTTCCCTCCAAAGCCGTTTTGTACATACTAATTTCCCAGTACTTTGCATCCAACATATCCTTATCCGTAGAATCCAACAAATCTGCAGGGTTTGTGCCTTCCACAGTTGATGTCTTGGTGTCAAAAGCCCCGTCATGAGACCCAATTCCAGACCCCACAATTGGTGTCGTTGGATTAAAAACCCCATCAATGTCCTGCACTACCTTATTAATAAAACCCTGCACAAACATAGTCATGGAGCCATCAACCTCTGCCTTCTCTACTGGCTCCATCAGCTCTGCCACAACAATTGGCTGCAATGGCACAGTTGAGCAGTCCGCCTCCATTCTCCGAAATACAATCACCAGCATCTGAATCAATGAAGCCTTGGCAGTAGTCTGATTTACCACATTTTTACTATTCAAGTAAATATCATAACACGTCCTAACCACCTGCAACAGACAATCCCCATGGATTCGTAATGAGACTGATGTCACCGCTGACAAGAGCGTCTTGATCACTAACAACTCAACAGATTCATCACCCAGATCGTGACATTTGCAGACGGATTCAATCAATCTGGACAATAATTTTGCATCGGGGCCACCATTGGGGTCAGCTTCGCCACGAAGGTAGCCGTGGGCAATTAATTTCTGGACAGCATCAAGGGCAGGCTCGGCAACTTTAAGGTAATTGGACGAGAGGGCATTAATTAAGGGGCTTAAGAAGAAGTCAGAATCCAAGAGGGGGAGTTCTAGCAGAATCCCGGGATGGGACGATGCGGTATCTGTATCTGATTGGCCGGATGGGGAAGTGGGGGAGGTGGGAGAGGAAGGTAGGGGGGTTGGGTTAGCTGAGGTTAGGCGTTCAAGGACGGACTTACACTCAGTGGCGAGCTTGGAGTGCTTGCGCCAGGACGCATTCTTGATGATCTTATCGAGGGCTGGGACTAGAACTATGTTCAAGCGGGAATCAGCTTCCGAAGAAGCCATTCCCGGAGTTCGATAATGTTTTAGATCTGAGATGGGAATTGTGTTTGGATGATTTGGATGCGACGGAGATGGTGGTGGACTGGTGGAAAAGATGGTGGCAGATATGGTGGCGAAGATTGGTAGGGAGAAGGTGGTGGATCTAGTTTGGGGAGAGGAGCATCTGCATCGCTCGCGGGTTCGAGGGTGGATTTGATACGCAAGGTAATGACAGTTGAAATGACCACTTTGTCCTTTAAATTGACCACGAAATATATCGGCTCGTATTTTAAAGTCAATTATTCGATGCAAAGAAAATCGCTAATTGATAGGAAGGACACGAGTTTCTTTGATGTCCATTTTCAAAAATTCATTTTATTAAAAATTATTTTTAATTATATATTTTATAAAATTCATAATTTTTATCAATTTTTAAATTATAATTTTTATCAATATATATATAAAACTGATTTTTAGCACAACCCAATTGGGCAAATTCAATCTTGCGAATAGGTATGATAACATTGCAGGGCCGCTAAAAAATTTCCCTCCCCACCCCGTTACCCGTTTAAGGCAGGGGCGAATTCCTTGCTCTATTTACCACTAGTTTAAATTTTTTTTTTTTTTTAGTTTTTGATAATTTATTTTTATTGCTCATATTCATTAGATTTAGACAAATAATTTTAATTGCAACTTTCTATTAAAATTAATGAAATTTTGTGAAATTTTTCATCTAAAGTATTGAATTCTAAAAATTTACCCGTCCCCACCCCGAATACCCAATTAAGCGGGTTATCTCCGCCCCGTTTGGGACGGGGCCTGCGGGTATCGGGTTTTTTTGTCATCCCTACTTGCGAATGAATAAAATGTATGTTGATTGCATATTATTTAAAAAAAAAAAGTATTCTGAACAATTTTTAATAAAGCAGTAGAAATCAATTTATCAGTATACCCTTTAGGTTTTGTAAAAAATTTATTCTTCCTAGTTTTTTTTTTTTTACAACATTTTGCATAGTTATTGAAGATTCATGAAATCACAAATATTTCAGTATTTGTAACTGACCATTTCAATGACAAATTGTTAACATTTCTTTTAAATTATTTAAATAAACATTAAATGAGTCGTTACTTCCATATTTCGTTGAACAACAACACAGTCACGTTTGGGGAGGCTTAAAAATTTTATAAAAATCTAAGTTAAAGTCCAAACTTATTTTTTTTCAATTCACACATGAACATATTGCGTATGTAGGTTACTAAAATTAGGTAAGAAAAAAATTAATTCCAATAAAAATATAATTTCTTGATATTTTTTTCGTTTCTCATCTTCATGGTAGTCATTAGAATCTTGAATCTCCTATTAAGTGAATTGATTAAGATGATTATATCTCAAATTTGGAGTAAGTTTTATAATGGTCATTAAATTAATTTTATACTCTTTTTAAAAAAAATGTTAATGTCAAACAAATGTGTTGCTGTCACATGCCAACAAGGATATAAAGGGCGTTATACGAGGTTTTGCTTCACGTACACGGTACATCCTTTACCTGTTATATATGTCACTCTAGTAGTGTTAATTACGAAAGTAGTCACTAAAACTTGAAATAAAATTCAAAATGGTCGTTGAAGTAATTTTTTCACTTTAATAATTACTAAAGTTTATAGCCGACCCCTTAGGGGGTGGCCGAGTTGATGAAGCGGGTGAACGAGGAGATCAAATGTTACGAGTTCGAATCCTCTACCAACACTTTTTTGGTCGAACCCGTCGCCGGGACTTGTCTAATGCGATTTACCTCTCCTGTGTGATTTGTGGGTTACTGCACGTGTAGCGGAGTTTATCTAGTGCGCTTTCACAGTGGTCGGGGCTCCCTTGGCAAGTAGTGACACGGGTTCCTAAGTCAATAAAAAAAAGTTTATAACCAGTACGAGGATTAAAATATCGTTTAATTGCAGATAATTACAAACAAATACAACAATTTAGATCAATGCAAATATTAAAATTTTGTTCGACTCCCGACATTGTCTTTTCGCTTTGCCACCCGCTCATTCTCTCTAATCTAATATTAACTTCTTTGCTTGAGGTGACATTGGAGGGTTTACTAAAACAAAGTAATTATACACTCTAGGATCCTACAAAATTAGGCAAAAAAAAAAGTATTAAAAAACACATTAATAATTACATCATAGTTACCAAATTCCCTTTATCTCAATAGTTCAAAGTTTTTATTTCCATAACCATGGTCAATAGTTCAAAGACTAGACCTTCTCTTTAGCTAAGTTTAATTCAAAATTTATAGCCTTACTGAAAACTTGAACTTCATCAAAAAAATTCGTCCCGCCTCATATCCCAGTATGTGTGATTGAAATTGGGTCAAACAATGTTCAAAAATACATTTTTTTTTTCAAGAAATAGAACTCAAACACTGGCTAAATTACATTAGAGTAAGATCTTAATTATTGATACGAAAATGGCAAGCATACGATAATGTTTTTGATGAACAAATACAAAAAATTTAACAAACTCCTAAGTTTAATTAAGAATTTTATGTCATAATTTGTGCAGCCCATGAATCGATGACCTAAATTAGCTTCAGCTTATGAAGCGTTCATCATACCGAGTCTAGCAGTGGTAAAATTACTTCGATGACCGTAGCGTAATCGTTAGATACTTCAATGACTAATACTATAAATAAAATTACTTCGATGACCTTTTCGAAATTACTCCCAACAAAATCTGCCATTAAATGGTGACTAGCATTTACTGTTGTTGTTTAATCCTTATGTTACTGGTTTCAAGTATAGAATCTGCGATCAAATTAACTAAAAGAATCATTTACATAGCCCGCGCTGGTGCTTAGCATCTACGACAACAAACCGTTATATTTGGGTATATATCGTGAAAAAACAGTTCGATAATTATAACCATAGTTGTTCTATATACGAATTAATAGGAAATTTCATTAGAGTACTAAAACGAGTACAAAATAAATAAAAAATAAAATAAAATAACATGACAATAGTCTGAACATAGAAATAACAAAGGAATCAAAAATATTGGAAGCTAATTTCCTTAACGAGTAGTGCTAGTTAATAGATGAACAGTTCACATCAGTTTCCCTTGGTGTGGGTTGGCAAAGGCGGGGCTTGTGTGCACGGCATTGTTGGATTTGCATGTCGTTGCAGAAGTTCAAAGCCAGTCCTTGAAGATCATCACCACCACCTGCCGCGGAGCCAGATGGAGTTTGCCCAACTGGTTCAAACAGCTATGGCAAGTCTGCACCGAAGGAGGTGGCAGTGGATTTGGAAATTTGCAGACCCGCAAAGTGGCCTTGTAAAGTAGTTGAGCTCGGATTGCAGAGTCGCCACTAGTGGTGGCAAAAAAAGCTCGCCTGCTCGGACGGCTCGGGCTGGCCAGGAAAAAGCCCGAGCCGGGCCCGGCTCGAGCTCGGTGGAACCGAGCCCCATTTTGGGGGGCCGGCCCCGCAATTAATTAAAAAAATAATAAAATTTCAAAGCTAAAATAGCTGAAAAAATTAAAATAAAAAAATAAAGCCGACTCGACTCGCTAAGGCTCGGGCAGAGCCTTTTTTTTTTTTTTTGCCGAACTCGGCTCAAGTCTGAAAAAAGCTCAGCCAAAACAAGCTCGAGCCGAGCCGGAGCTGGAGCTTTTTTTCGGCTCGGCTCGTTGACATAGCTAGTCGCCACCTTTAATGCCAAAAATATCCAAAAGGAATTTAAAAAAGTTAAGGAAAATAATATGAAAACTCATTTATTTTTTGTTTGTTTCAAAGAAAATTAATTTTGCTTCTAAAGCCCAAGCTACCCTAGTCTACCCCGCCCCACTCCCCTAAAAGCAACAAAACCAGGAGATATGCACCGATTTAAACGCATCAGCCACAAAGAACACACCTTACTAAAACTGTGCAATGTTGTGAGAGACATGTATGCACAGGACCCTTGAATAATGGGTTCAAAACATGAAAGAATAACAAGTAAATAATTACAAGGACGAATGGTAGGAGCATTAATCACATAGAAATTTCCGACCATCTCCTTAATAAAAGCAAGTAGTTGCAAGATATTGAAACAGACACTGACCACATCATAAGTAAATACATCAGAATCGGGATTCTTGATTTCAGAAAACTATCATACTGTTCCCTCGATGCACCACATCATGGTCCACATTTTTTTCCTTCTCTAACTCTTGCATAAAATTATATTCATTTAGCCCCTTTTGATGATCACTATAAAGAGAAATTAGAGAAGAATAATTTTGAATAATGATTTTTTGAAGAATGTATGATTAAAAAATAGAAAAAATTTGAATTTACATATAGAATATTTTATTATGTGAATGTATAATTGAAAATAAGTACGAGAAATAAAGAATTTTAATTTGAAAGGAGTATGCCTCATTGTAATAATTAACAATTAATAATAAATATAGTACTAAATTTTACTTTTCAACTAGGAATGTGTATTTATAATTATACAGAGGATAAAGTTGATTGAATAGGGCGTACGTGCCCCTGCTTTATGTAGGGCGATCCTTTTACACATGCCAATCAATACCTTCTTACATACTCAATGACACCTTAGTCAGACTTCAATTGGAAAACAAAAACCAATCCCAATTCACTTCCATCAATCAAAATGATAAATTTCATATACACCACTACAAATTTCACCTTTAACAACGAAAATTTTTGTTGTGAAATGTCCTTTTTTTTTGTTAGAAATCTTTTATTTACAATTACTATTATTGAGAGCAACCCTTTGATCCAAAATTCCAAGTAGATCATAATTGGAATTTGAAAAGGTCCGCAATAGTTATGCGGCAAACCGCACAAAAAATAAACTCAATTACTTTTGAAGAAATCGAGAAGGAAATCTCAATTGTGGGCTATGTGATAAGGAAATTGAAATGATTGAAATAAGGATTTTCCCCCGGTGTACAGAAGGCAGCCACCAGAATATTGCTAGAACAGAGAGAAATGTATGGGACCCACCATGTGATTAAA